TAAGGGCAGACAGATCAGTTTTCCCCAAAATGCCGTTGCTCTCAGACTGATTGGTCATGGAGCGTGATAAACCGTTTCCCCGGAGGGCTCTTCCCCTGCTATTTGATTTCAAGAAAACTGGCATTGAAGCGCACCGGATGCTTCTATGGAGGACAAGCTTTATCTGAACGGACCTACTGGGATGGTTTCTCTTCACTCGAGAGCTTGCAATGAAAGCGGAATGTCCATTGCCAAAAAGAAAGTGTGTGTGCATTTGGTGGTGGGATCAAAGGGAAGTTGTGTACTATGAGCTGCTGAGCCCGAACGAAACTGTTACTGCTAACCGCTACGAACACCAACTTGACAGTTTGTAGGATGCTCTCACCCACAACCGGCCGTTAATCGCAAGGAAATATGGTGAGGTGCTCTTCCACCACGAACATGCCAGTCCCCATTTTGCGAAGAATGTCCAAAAAAAATTGCAGTTGTCGGATGGAATCAGCTTGTTCAGCCCGCATACTCTTCGGATCTTGCTCTTTCTGATTACCACCTATTCCGGNAAGACTTTTTTAGACCCGGAGACAACAAGATACCAAAAAGATGGCAAGAAGATGTAGCTAACGATGGGCAATACATTGGTTGATGTACATTCGGTTTTAATTTTGTAATAAATATGTTTTTGCACGCAAAAAACGGCAAAAACTAATGCACACACCTAATATGTGCCAGGGTGGTTACAGCTTTCAGCGTTTGTCGCACTTGTGAGATCAGAAGAACAGAAGCCCAGATTGTTCTGTCTTCATGATGAACAAGACTACTGTTTGCCTGTCAAATGGGTTGCAGCGGTTAGACAAAAAGTAACGAGAGGATGTCGCCCGTGCTTCCCAAGGGGATCATGTCGATGCTCCGTGCGTGTATTGAACATTAGTGATTCAATTTCTCTTAAACGCTCGTTGCTATCCATTGTGTTTCGCAGTTCCGTGGGGCAAGAGCTAGGTCGATACCCATTCCTACTTTGCATGGGTTCCATGAATTCCCTAATCTTATTCTACAATATTCCTTTACGAGATGATCTCTAAGCCTTACCTGCATACATTACTTCTACCTGCTAAATATAACCCTCGAAGGCCTGATAATATCCAAACTATTGGATCTTGTGCAACATTAGTTCCAACGTTAGTTCATGGTAAAGGCATAGCCAAACTTAAAAAAAGTGATGACGTTAACGATCCCCTTCTCGTCGACGACGAGCAGGGTCTTTTCGTACGACTGCCTTCTGTAGCTTCACTTTTTTCTTCAGCAGTCACCGAGACAAGCAGGGAACTCTGCAATTTACTTCTGCAGCTGTCCTGAGTCAATTTTCTTGCCTATATAAATGTTGATATGAGTGAAGTTTCCGTGCCTGCTGACCACATGCTTAGTTCCTTGACCGTTACTTGGGTTACTCCTTTGGTTGGGATCAATCTGGCTCAGGCCATTACCCGCATCACGATCCTCTCTGAGATCCTACTAGTTTCTGATAACTTTTTGCCCCGACATCACATGGAGGCCTTCTTTGACGTATAACGACACGTGTCGTTTTTGAACACAACGAGAGTAACCTGCTAGCTACTTTTTTTCTTTCCAGCCAGCGTGCTAGAAAGAAAGAAAGTTTGCCAGCCAAAGTTGTTACGGTTTGCCGATCAGTTCCACACCTGTTCTTATCAATGAGGATTTCCCGCGACGGCTTTTATCCTTTATTGTCCTACGAGCTAACGATAAGTGACTGTTCCTATAGGCAGAAAATACAGTTATGGATGTGCTGAAGTCGTATCACCAGTTACAGTCGTAATGTGTAGTAGTCGTGGTTCCCACTGGGTTTGCCAGAAGCTGCTCAGGTTCCGAACAATGCGCACTCTTCTACTATTCTGAGAAGTTTTAAGTGCTACGGTGTATTTTCGTTGGCAAAACTCGTGGAAACTTTATTGAAGAGCAGGTCCTATGGAATTTCCTGTTACTGTCGTATTTGATCGAAAATTCCTAGGCGATTTTGCTTCCTCCACGCTCTCTTCTGAACCTGCGCTTATAGATTCCCGCTCTTCCACATCGAGAAAGTGCGTGCATTGAGCAGTGTGGGTAATGCAACCCACCTTAATGGCCATTCCGTATCAAGTGCATTTTGCCTCTTCCAGGCTGGCTGCGATGCAGTCGAGCTCATCCACATAGACCATGATTGGCTTCTATTAGACTTGTCTTCTACTTGTTCTATCTCGAGCAATACCTCTTTTCACTCAAACCCAAATTTACCTCATTGTATAACATTCCTAGCTTGAAGGCACTGTTCACGAAAAAATGGTTTCGGAGATTTGCACATGGTTTGAATTCGACGCCCCCTCTGATACCATTTGTGCAGGAATGAGGTCGGAAATGGTCTGGATAGGGTACAATAAGGGGCCGGAGAGTGAGCCACTGTCGCCCTCCGCCCCTCGCTAGGCTGACTACGAAATCTAATTGCCGTTCAACACTTTCGCATTGGAGCGAAGTTGGTGAAAAATCGATAAGGTGGTTGGCAAATTGCCAGAGTCTGCCAGTTAGATTGGGGGGACGGTCAAGTCGTGCGTCCGAGGGTGCGCGCGGCAAATTGCGCGGCGAAGTGCGTGGTGGTTCGAACGACTCTGGCGTCTATGATTGGGGTCCAAACTCGAAGTAGAGTAGTTTAGTAGGGTCAGCTGATACTAATAATCTACTCTACTTCAAATTTGGGCCAGAATGATAGGCGCCAAAGTCGTTTGAATCACCACGCACTTCGCCGCGCAATTTGCCGCGCGCATCCTCGGACGCACGTAAGTTCCGTCCCCCCGTTAGATTGTCAGGCAAATTGGGTGTGTTATCTGCTATTGCAGACATTGCGTCGCCTTCGGGCACTCGCTTCTTCCAATGTGACTCGTCCAACCCCCTTTCCAGCTCTTTTTTGACCCTTTCTATTTCTTTTTGTTCATCGTTTTTTGCGCTTTTTTCGTTGTTATCGCTTTATTCTAGAGTAGTTCTATGAATTCCCGTCAAAAAAGGGTACCCTAAATTTTTCGTAAACAGTGCCTTTGAGGTATCCTTGAACTGGTTTGCGTTTTGGAAGAGTGAACCCACATTTCTTGTAAACTTCCTTATCTACCATGGAATATTCGACTTACTGGTTAGCAGAAGAACGTGCGACTAGATTCAAGATGTTGGTTGTGGACATAATTAGTTTCCTAAACATAGAGTAGAGTGCCATTCTACTTGAGAATTGTGTTAAAAAAACAGTTAGGAAGTCGTTTCAGATAGCGAGACGTTGAGAGACTAGGAGAGGATTTGGTCCGGACACGACGATATGTTGTGTTTGATTGACACTGTTAGGACCTCTACCCGATTTGATGTGATGAATGTTTCTCCATCCTTGAACCTCGCGGATAGGGCTTGCGGCGTACTCAAGACACGATTGAACCAACATGGGATGGTGTAGAAGTAGTGCCGGTTCAGCGGGATGCTAATTTTTATTTCAAAATGAGGGGTGGCGATACTCATACTACCATCCCACATCAAGCGGCAATGGTTTCGGAGCAATTGCCGTAATACTCCAGTGGGAATTCCAATTTTCCATTTCACCATGCGATGGTGAGCGGCGAGCGCGGAACTCGGTTTCGTTGCAAGGTACCACACTGATGTATGAGAGCTGAGCGAGCGCCAGGACTGGTGAACCAAAGGGCACTCTGCTCGAGCCACGGTTAGAAGCAGTTACCGGTTATGTGCAGCATAAGCTTCGTGATTTCACAAAACTAAAACAATGTAGAATTCCGTACACCATGGCGACTTTCCCACGCAGTAGTAGAGCCTGCAGGCAAAAAGCGAAAATACTTGTACATCGGTGAAGGCGCATGGTTTCAACGTAAGCTGCCACGTGCTGAACTAGTTCGATGCGTCGTATAAGGGATTGCGGAGGGTGTAGGTGCATCCACCCAATTGGCCGCTTTCAGAGTTCGACGACAGTCCGTCCGTCCGTTCAACGCGTGCGCGACGGCGGACGCGTGCGTGTCGCGACGGCGGTTCTAGAAGGGTGATGACAGTGTCTGATCGTTGTTCGGCGCTGTCAACACCGTTCTAGAACCGCCATCGCGGCATGCACGCGTCCACCGTTGCGCACGCGTTGAACTGACGGACGGACGGCCGGACGAATCGTTGAAGTCTGAAAGCAGCCATTCTGGATGGACGCGGCAAAATTCATGGTGGTTTTAACGACTCCGGAGCCTATCATTGAGGCCCCCAAATTTGAAGTGGTGTGGTTAAGTAGCATCAGCTAGCCCTACTTACCCGATCTATTCTAAACATGTGGCCCAGTAATAAGGCGCCAGAGCCGTTTGAATCACCACGAATTTCGCCGCACGGTTTGCCGCGTCCATCCAGAATTTGTGTGAATCCCCCTTGAAGTTGTGTTGTAGAATGATCACGTTGTCCAAAGATTCCTGCACCTGCTGCATTTTAGTTGACGATAAGGTCACGGTAGGAACTGGATTCCATTCCAGGATTTTTATGCTTGTTTCCTGACCACATTTACCCGCAAATTTCCCGAATGTGATCATTACTCGAGCATACTCAGCATTTTTATGGGCTTGTGGAGAAGAACGCTGCCACTTGAACTTCCCACAAGATGGAATCAAATCAGTAGTACAACATCCCCATCAATCAGAATTAGCTATACTCTAGCCACACGTACTGTTTCTTAGGAAAATACTTTCGACGACAAATTTCATGAGCATTGAACACTGTGTACGTACACCGTAGTTCTGCATTGGTTCTGTATCTGCACACGGCGTGCTCATCCGTCTGCTGTCTGACTTTCGCGAGGCAGATGCTGAGAAAAAAGTGATAGTTATCCATATTTACTTTGATTTCTGTCCGCCTGTACAAAGCTTCTCGTTCGATTGTACCTGTTGTTTCAATAGCGATCCGTTCTTATCTATATTCACCACTAATTATTTGTAGCCCTTCAGCTTTGTAGCCCTTCAGCAATGGTTACGAACGTTTACGTCTCGGCAGTGACGCAGGACAATATTTCCCGTCATGAGCTCCTCGCCTGGGTGAATAATCTTCTGAAGGTTAGCTAAATATCCCTGAATTTTGATGTTTGGTGTCTGCTGCTTTTTACAAGTGGCTTTAGGAATTAATTCTACGGGTGAAGTTTCGTGTGGGTTGTTAAATATCCTGGTGTTGTTTTATTTTGTCCAAAAAGCTTGAAATAAAGCTGATCCTTCAATCGTTCGAAAAATGAGGCTTTAATAAAGTTCTATTCACTTGGTAAACCACCTGGTGTGGGATGGGCTACAAAGTGCATCGAAGGATGGCTTGCTATCGCCATTTGATGACTCATTCTCTTTTTCAGCGGTCTCCTACGAGACCGGTTCCTTCTCATTACTTCCCTGGGACAAAGGTCTTGATTTCCGTGAACTGTATTGGAGATAAACGCATGAACAAATTAGACTTTTCATTTATTTAAAAGGGGCATTTGTGAATTCCACATCCCTTTTGAAGCAGCTATGGCAAGGAACTCTTAAATCCGTAGGCGATAATGTGTAATGGTGCGTGACAAGTCTGGGAAACAGAAATTTATTCAGTATGAGCTTCTTTTTTTTTTGATTTTGCAGTGGGAATTCCTAGGATTCCTTATAGTTGCTGCTGAAAGGGGTCCGGTTTTTTTGCAAATGTTCCAGATCACTGATGCTCTTAGAATACAAAACAGGACGCGCCTATAGGAGTAATAGACAACCAGTCTATAGTCTAGGTTATAGGAGTAATTAATTGCCAGTATGCGGAAGGGGTCTAACGACAATTTTTTGGGGAAATTCACTATTTTCGTTATCAATGTCGTAAGCATTGTCACAGACCTTCAAATGATAAGGGCAGACGAGTAAGCTCTTCATTTATTGAGACTCCTTATTTGACCATGGGTGTCCATATTGCCCTCAAGGATTTCATCGTAGCTAGACCTTGCTAAGTATGACTAGGTGAGTCTCAAGTCACTAGAGAATGTTTTCCCTTTTTGCACGGGACTTTGATATGCTGTTTCAGGCTAATTTCTCGAAAATAGAAGAAATGAGCACGGGTGCTGCCTATTGTCAACTTACACATCTATTGTTTCGAGATTCTATAAGTCTTCGTAAAGTTAGCTTTCTATTTCCTGCATTTCCAGCCCGACTTATAAACAATGGAGGGCTTTTTCTTCGCAGGTGAAATGGAACAGTCGTAACGAAATGGACCATATCAACAATTGGAAGATACTCGGCACCGCTTGGAAAGCGCTCGGGGTTGACAAGGTTGCGATTTCTGTTCGATTACACTTAAGTTACAAAACAATATTCGAGGGTGTGCAAAGTGAACAGAGCAGAATGTTAGGTCGGAAAACCCTACGTAATGACAGCTTCCCAAATAAAGGCGTTGTCTCTCACATGCACGGTTTCATTCCATGAAGTGTGGTGTGAATCACAAATTCCCCATAACAGCAACGGCAAATATTTTTCGTAATTAAAAAATAATTAAATTAAAACGCTACAGGGACTCGCGTACTAGATTAGGACAAGCGAAGATATACTTGACAAAGCCGATAGCTAGAGTTAATGTGAGAGCTAGAAGTAAGAAGTGTTAGAAGTGTTATTCCAACTACGTTGAAGCTCTTCAGTCATAAGGTAGCCATTAAAGTATGGAGCTCTGAAACATCTTGGTTGTATGAGATTTACTCGTGTTTTTTTATTAATGCCCTCATCTTGTTGCATGTAATGCTGATAGAAAGTTACATCATTATATGAGTCGTGATCTATTATATTCGCTTTTGTATCGTATAGTACTATTTATTATTCACATTGACCTTCAGTAGCGTAATATAATAATCTTCTGAATAGTTTTTTTTATGTTTTTAGCCTGTACTTGTGGAACGACTGACGAAAGCCAAATTCCAAGACAACTTTGAATTTCTTCAATGGTTCTTCAAATTTTTCAACGCCAACTATGTGGACGAGTGCGAGGAATATGATGCATTAGCTGCTCGAGGAGGCGAAGTATGTTTTTTTCTATTCCTTACTTGCACAAGGAAGATTAAAAGTAATAAAGTTCATCACTTAATAACGGTTTTAGAATCTTTTTTTTTCTTACGGTGTGCGATAGTTAGGTGGCTCTGCAGTAGAAAAGTCACACTAAAGATAAGCTCCTTGACGTTGAGGTCGAAGTGGCACAACCTAAACAGCATCACTAGTGATTATGACAAGTTGTAAATGAAATCTGTGAAATGAGAACTCTTTTGGTTTTTAAAAGTTCGTACCTGTCAAAGCATCAAGTATTATCCCGTCTCCACTCCTTGGTGATGTACAAAAGGACGTGTGTTATCAAGGTCAAGGGTAAACGGCGGTGTCTCAAGAGCTTTTTTGTACGTTATGCGTCCTTGGATTTTACTAGTTTGCATAAGAAGGTTTTAGCGAAGGTGAACGGTGATGGTGAAATCCAAAATTTGTCGTTGCACTGCAGGAACTTGTTTGTATTCGAAGTCATAATTGTCCGAATTCAGACATCACTTTTGTTAACGCTATCACTCAGTTTTAACCTCAACTCTTACCCTCGTCCATCAAATGCAGCATATTTTGTTGCAACACCTCACTCGTAATACTCAAGCAAAATAATTCTGATTTCAATGATTAGAATACAAAAATGCGAACTATTTTCCAATTCTAATATTACGTTTTTTTTTTGTTTTTTAGACCCCGGAATCTTTATGCTCTTGATTGATTTCCATGCTTCGCCTTAATTTTGGTTATATGTTGAAGAATAGTTTCTTCTAATGTTGGCACGCTGGTAGGGAGGTTGCACCTGGAGAAGGCTTTAATGCGGAAACGTTTCTTATCATCAAATTTCCCAGCTACTCAGAATGTATTCCCCAAAATGTTCTTGATCATTATTGTCAATAATCGACTAACAAAGCGCTTTGAGCGCTTGCCGTAACAGTGTTTGGAGCAAAGAACTGGTAAGTAATGCAAAGGAAGTGGTAGGCACGTATCTGATACTTTAATTAATTGATTTTTGCTTTTAATTCGACGCACTCCATCACAAAAGCATAAAAGTTCAACGACAAGCCGCTTTTAAAGGTGACTCGAATGGTTTGTAAAGATTTGATGAAAAACAATAATCTAGTATGAAAATATGAAAACTGAATGTTTTTTCTTGTTACACTTCCTCAATATCGTTGAGTGCTCTCGATGCTCTGGAAGTAAGCCGTTCAACGTGTTCAATGCCAGCCCAGATATCCGTTTATATATAGAAGGAAGATGTCGAGGGTTTACATATACCTGTGCTCGATATGAAAGTTGAAATTCTCTTGTGCCTCTTGTGTTGTTAAACTTCTGATTTTCTCCTACCAAATTACAACTGTTGTTCAGCCATTGCCAGCTGGATCGAAAGGACCAACACCAACACGTGTTGCTCCCGCACGAACATCATTAAACACTACTATCCGTGCTTCGTCCAACACGACTCAGCGTCCAGCCGCTTCCTCCCAACCAAAGAAAAGTGAGCACGCAAATGTTCATGTTTTCCTACCTTTAATCGTCTTCATTATTTGTGTATTTTGGTGCTATGTTCTTATGCAAACACTTAAAAAAACCGTTTCCAGTCTTTAGGGGCAAGGAGTCCTTTAATGAAGAAGCGAAATAGTACAAGCATGTCTAAGAGTTTACCTACAATGAACATGAAACATAGTTTTAAGCGGAGAATCATTAGGGGTTGAAATAGGCGTGGCGAAACCCAAGGCTAACAGATCTACTTAACTCAATGCGATAATAGGATGCAATATCCATCCTACCTCATAATTAGCGCATATAGCAGCCGTCAAACAGAACTGGATTTCCACCGTCTCAGTGACCTTCACCTTGAAAATAGGCTGAACTTTAGTCTCGAATTTCGAATCTCTTCGATTTCACGGTTTCCACTATTGACGTGCTAAACATTGTGGCTCCGACAAGTGGCTTTCGCGAGCATCATTTTCGGAAGGCTCAGTTTCAAGTCTCGGTATTCCTACAACCGCTCCAAAAGTCAGCATTCGTTTGATCGGCACTATTCACCCTTTACTGCCCCACTATGTCGAGAAAGGGATGGATTTCTGTCGAGTTTTTTCAAAGAAGATGAAACCGGCTAGAAACTTGCCTAGGGGGGTAATTTGACCCGTAAAACACGAATATCGCATCCACTAATCATGAAAACGCCTGGGACACTAGTTATGGGCAAGTTTTCAGCAGGAGCGGTGACCCAGCGATTTGGCGCAGGCGCCTGTAGCGCAAGCGCTAGGCATCTTTATGACAAATGGATGCAATATTCGTGTTCTACGGGTCAAATTACCCCTGTAGGCAAGTTTCTAGTCGGTTTCATCTTCTTTGAAAAAATTCGGTAGAAATCCAGCCCATTCTCGACGAGGTGGGGCAGTAAAGGGTAAATAGTGCCGTTTGATCTGCTCTATTTCAGCCTCAATCACCGCCCTTCTGTAATGATTAACTCTAGATGCATGGTGAGGTTTTAATTGTGAAGTTGTTGCGTTGAACGCAAGCGTTGCATTTGTATGCACATCGAGGAAGAACGAACGGTTTGTGACTTGGTCGGCATGCCAAACTCGGGTTGCTCACATACAAATATGTTTGTCCTCAAGTGAAGCTCTCAACCGTTTTCTGAGACGGATCCGCCGTTGGTACCGATGACGATACTTTGAAGGAAAAGTTATCTTCTATGAAGAGATTTTTCATTGGTGGCGACAAAGAAGACTGTTAGAGCTGATCTTGTGTCCTCAATGCAAATGCCCGATCTGAATTGCTAGGTTTTTGCAAGAGTTAGTTCTCCCACCTAAACCGCCAACGCCTCTGCTGGCGCATGTTGCAAAATGCAGTTTTTCGATTCTCACAAGCGGTATAGCGGGCGATGCCTACTCGTTTAATTGAGCCTAATGACGTCGTTCTTCATCTTCTTGACTTGTGTCATCAGTTGTTCAATGAACGATTTCGATATACGAACGTTTCCGATGTAGCTGCTTGCGCACCGCACGGTGCAGATCGCCGTCTCACGGTCAGTCTTCTTTTATTCAGCAGAATACCAGAAGCACCCACACCTCTCATGAGGCGTATTCATAAATATCCATGAATACATAATCCTGCGTCTCTGCGGAACTACTGGTGAATAACGGTAGCCTTTAGTCCGCGATTTGCCTCCATTCCGTCACCTGGTGTCGCGACAGTATTCGTGTTCTCACCATCGTTCGCTCAAAGTGTTTCAGTGAAAGAATTCGAGGCGCGTATCCTCATAATGGATTCGATAACGATATAGCGCCGGATGCTCGATGATCAGAGAGTGGGAGAGAGGAACACACTAAGAATCAGTTCCCAACTACTCTAACACTGTTTAGGAGCTTCTAGAAAGCGTTTCTTTTTCTTTGGCCTTGTGGTGGGCCATTGAAGGTGGAGCGGAAAGTTGGTTGTGACTTTCGCAGAGCTAAGTGAGGAATCGACAGCTTTCAGCGATCACATGGCCTTGGTTCTTATCACTCTACCCCATTAAAAATTTAAACAACAACTCATGGAAAAATTTTGGTCTCAGGAGAGCAGTAGGTTCGCAACTTCAACCCGACTACTCCAACACTGTTTAGGAGGGTTTATGTTCTACCCAGGCAAGGTTGTTATCATAACAATTCCTCTTCTCTAGACTGTCGTCTTATGATCGCCAAAAGTGTTCATTCATCTTTTGATTATCCAAAATACAATGTTATTCTTCCGCTTCACCGTCACCAGCCTCAAATACGGCATAAAATAAAGCCATTTAAATACTCGCTCTCGTGGAATCCTGCCTCAGGGTGATTATCTCTCCCACAGCCTTTCGCATACGTCTCAATGTAAACACATACATCAATAACGGGTAGTTGCATGAACGCACTCTGTCGTCTTAGTAAAAAATTTGTGACCTTTCCTGTCGTTACTTGCGCTCTTTACCTATAAGGCGGCTGTGTCTTCCTGTCTTTGGCACGCGTTTTGAGTAACACGCAATTTTGCATTATGCATAAGTAGTACTGAACTGAAATGATTCAGGTGACCGGTTGATTTTTTCGACTGACCGCTCGTATAGGCCCCCTATGCTCGATTCTCTCCCGTTACGATCCTTTCCCTAGAGTTTTGATTTGCTGTTACCAATTCAAGGAACTTTTCAGCTTCACCGGTGCCACCTAGTTCCAACCGTTCCGCGGCCCCTGATTCTTCAGCGATAAAAGCTCTTGAGGAGGAAAATGCAAAGCTTACTCAACAATACGAAGAGGTAAGGCAACGGTCACTCGACACGATTTGATAGGTGTAAACGACCCAACTTCGGGCAAAAAATGAATAAAGAAAAGCGAGGAAGTGACTACAATAGTCGATGAGAGATGCGAAAGGCACTTAATAGCGTCGCACCGCTCCCGCGTCGGTTATGGGGTTACCCTAGTTGCTCAGTGTTTCCATTTCGAATTATAAGTCTTTCCGCAATGCAAAAGGCGCAGGTTGACTTGGTCTAGACTTTCCATGGGGTGATGTGCCAGAAAACGACAACGTGCAGAATTTGACGCAGGAGTTACGCGACGTGGCCGACCGACATCCTGTAGCTCGTGTATCGTGCTAGGCTTTGTCGCCTTTAATAGAATTCAATATGGCTGTTGTGCTTTGTTCTCTTTGATATTTATTTCGCATTTGCTCCCCCTTTCATCCATGTGAGTAGGATGAAAATCCAACGGTGAAGCCTCATACGATGGAAAATCGTAATCATGGGGCAGGCAGGAGGAGCAGGGAAACCTTCTAAGAATACAAACTAAACTCAGCGAGAATTATCAATTATCAATGTAGATGTTGTAAGCAGTCAAAAAAAAAAAGAGAGCGAAGCAGAACAGTCATGACGGAATGGTCGTAGTAGCTAGAGCCAACTAGCTCCTCGATACTGGTCGACAGCGCCGTGCTTGCCTCGACCCTCATCGGCCAATTGGAAGTTTGAATTCTTGGTTTTTATTATCGATTTTTACAGATGACCAATATAGCGGAGACAGTGGAAAACGAACGCAACTTTTATTTCGAGAAGCTTCGAAGAATAGAAGATATGTGTAATGATTGCGCAGAGGGCGAAAACCCTGACAAAGAAGCGATTTTAGCAATCCTTTACGAAACGAATGAAACGAATGTGAGTTCTGAAACGTTCTTATTTCTCTTCGGAGAAAAACTCGTAAAATGCTCAATTCCTAGATCTTGAGGTTTGTTGCGCTGCAAGGTCATGCAAAAGTAGAACCCCTGCAAAATTTTTGAAGTTGTTTCTTGCGCAATCTCCGCCGTAGAACCTCTGCAAAATTCTGAAGTTGTTTCTTGCGCAATCTCTGCCGGCTTTGCTTGATCAATGGAAATTCCCTCCGAAGTGTTTCCAGGCGAGGAAGACTTGGCAAAGAGTGACGCGCAAAAAAACTATAATAGCCCAACATTACATTTATTTGAATTCACGAAAACAGTTTCGTTTGCACTACAACAGGCAAAGCATAAACAGATGCTTCCAAGAGAACGAATAATGTTGAACATGGCTGAAGGCTTCAGAGAAGTAGCAAGGAGTTATGAAAATGGCTCAGAGGAAGATAAATAATAGATAAAAATAGAAGAGACAAATGAGTATCAAAGAAATTCAACCAAGCCTGAGCATGAACCTCCTCCTCCTTCCTTTTGAAAGCAGGCAGTGACAAATCGAGGGCGTTGAGTAATTTATTGAAACTGTGTTTAATAGAAAAGTTATTCATTGTGACGTAGGTCTTGCTTATCGAAGCGAGAAGCTTGAGTTTACTTCCATCGCTGTTACAAGCAGTCAGAGTTAAAAACACTAACTAAATAAAATTCATTTCTCCAGTTCAGTTAGCATTTTAAAAGCTATGTATAGGTAAGTCAAGCCTTCTTCTTACCTTACTTATGGTTAAGTGCACGACTCATGGCGCTAACCCTGTCCAATCTACAAAAAAAAANNNAAAAAAAAAGTTTTTTCATAAGCCAGGGACAGCTCCCAGTTTTTCATATCTGAATCGAATTAGTTTTCGTGGAGTGTGTGTATCAACTTGCGCAGGATAACAAGCCAACATGATCAAAATCCATTCAGATCCGTACTGTTGAGGAGGGCCCCTTTTTTATCGAAAAATCTTCGTGTGGGCAAAAGAGTTCTGCCTTTTCTTTGGAGGATCCATCGAATGAAGTGCTCCGTTCTAAATTCTTCTTGCGCTATGTTTGCAAAAGGGATTTTCAATGTGCTAATCTCCGTCAATTAAAATAAGTGTGGGGAAACCTAGTGTTCTTAGGCAAGACGGCTAGTTCGATTAACATTGGACCAAGCTAATTGGAAACGCTTGAGATGCCGAGATTAATTTGAACCCAGTATAAGAGTCCATGATTGTGTCCCAGAGTCATGGAGGCCTACTTCGAACAATTGTGTCCTGAAGGCAGACTTCTCCATTGAACACGAATTACTGCTGAATAGAATTACTGGTTTTGGCACAGATAATCGAGCCTTTATCAAAAAAAAAAACTGTTTCGTCCCTTCAATTTTACAGCGTTCTCGAGCCTATCGATTCTTGATATGTTCGATAAAAGGTAGTTAAGCCATACTTTTCTCAGGGCGGTTTCACCACCGTCTCATTGGCATTGAATATTACAAGCTCTCACTGGAAAACATGCAGGGCGAACCTATGTGCAATGTGATTTCCATATAATCATGGAACTCTTACACAACATGCAGCTAGAAGATTCCTTTTATGGCTCTGGTGATTCATAATGAATTTTCAGCCGGAAGGTGGAGAGGACAATGGTGGTCAAACGCTGATAAACGACGATGATGAAACCTTCTAGCTCAACTTCTACTGAATAGTCTGTGCTCCTACTCATATCTCTCGAACTGCAGCTATTAATTCCCGTAGGCTCTTCACATTTGCTAGCATTCCGTTTCAGTCACTCATGTTTCATTGTTCATACAGTTTATCGTTTCGCGTTTATCATTTTGAGCTGCTTCTACTCGTGTAACTTATTGGTGTTTAGTTTTTGTTTTGTTCTTTAATATATCACGGCACTGGGTTTGATTTTCTTAAGATTTCACTGCAGCATTTTAGGCGCGTTTTATCATAATAGGAAATATGTGATACTTGTACCTTTCGCATAAATTTTCTCTGCGAACGTGTGTTGGGTATGAGATCTCACGAGGGATTACCACCAAGATTTTACCGAATCAAAGAAATGATCGTTGCGATGTTGCCGGTAGTGATTGGCAGTGATGAAGTTATGTTAAGATTAGTTTAACTCCTCGTGAACTCGTTTGTAAGAAGAGTTCACAGATCGCTGACGTTACTTTCAGAGTAGTTCAGATGGAAGCTGCAGACAAATCATTGCTTCGAACTTTAAATACTAAAGCTGCCGGCACTGTTGCCATATTTGACAAAGGAGTACGTTTGTTATCATTTCCCAATATTCATCCAAAAAGCGGTCTCTTGTGGGTAGTGCTTGGTACTGTGGACGTTATGTTATTGTCTTTAAGGACTATTACGCATGTTATGGGGATGATGCTGTACTGTTGGCAACAGAAGTGTTTATGAGCGATGTTTGTCTCAAAACTGTCACAATAAAGGGTAAGCATCAGGAAAGCTTCGCTCGAGTGGTTTTCGTTAACGAACTCCTACTTTTTAGTCGCTTTGTGCTGGGAAGTATGTCCCAGTTGCGGTTTGGCTTCTTAGCATATAATCTTCCAGGGATAAGAGTTTGATGTCTGCTTGCATGTTACCTTTTTCTTAGGCGAAGTGCTCCAATACTTGACGATGAACTATGGTCAGTATCAGCGCACTGTTCGCGAGCTCCTTATGTTTATGAGATATCGCATTGAACTGTATGGCCTGGAATCGGATCAGTGGACAATTAAGGCAAAAGTTCGTCTTTCGTAACTAATGGTGTCATTTCCTGTCTTGTGTAAGTACCAATACAGTAAGTTCTTTGCCTTCTGTGTTCAGGGAACCATAGGAAATCTTGGAGATTTCGAAGAAATTATTGGAGAGGCAACCGGTGGTGGTAATGTAATAATGGCCATAAAGATAGCAAATGGCGAGGATGTGGGTCATTTTCTGAACTACTGCGATTTTCTCGGGTTCCTTGGTCGATATTTCACGAATTTCAGAATAAAGTCAGCATCTCTTTCATGGACATGCTTGATTTCCGTGTTCTTACATCTGAGTTCATTGACTCACCACTTTTTGCTCAAGTTGAGGTCTGTTTCTCCAACTAAATCGAAATCTCAGTTCTTACTGTAGAATTCCACCATTCTTCCAGCATTGTATTGTTGGTATTGGTCCGCGAGAGTGTCTTGTCTACGGTGACGAGGGTGAATGTCCGTTCAGCGGCAAAGATCGTCCAAAAAAGCTGAGTGCTCTTCTGCGAAAAGTGGGAGTACTTGAAACAAGCGGAGCAAACGTTGCAAATACAGCAGATTGGGTAGAAGTACAGAATATATTTCGCCCTGGATCTGAAGGTAATGTTATCTCTGGTCCTTTATGTAATTCTTTGCCTACACTCATGTACACTGTCATACACTCGGGAGATTTGGGAGTGTTCTCTTTCCAGTTGACTCGCTTTCCGACAGTTTGAAACGATGTCTTTGCGGCCTGTACAACTATCTCAAGATGGACGAACAAGAAGCTTACATGCATAAGTTTAGCTTGTCCACTTATCGTACCTCCGGATTCATGCATATTGACGCTGGCGCTGTACGGGCCCTTGAACTATTTGCTCTCAATTATCATCAAGGTAACCGTACCCATTTCCTTCGTAGGAGCTTCAACGAACACTGCAACTGTGTTCACGAAAGTCACTCAACTTTGAACTTCTTTTATTTTGTTGCAGATGCTAAAGGCACTTCTGGCACTGTTTACGGTCTGCTCAACAAATGTCGCTCAGCCCCTGGCCAGCGGCTGCTGAGTGGGTTCCCACGATTTTCGAGCAATTAGTCGTAAATTAACCCAATGGGAACAGTTATTCGGAATATCTCACAATTTTTGTTTTCCTACAGAACGACTTTATTAAACTTTCCAGGGGAATGGCTTGCGCGTCCGCTCTGCGATTTGAGGCAGATCACAGAACGTCAAGACGTCATCGAATCACTTGTCCTTAATTCTGATGTATGTTTATTCATACAAGATGACAATAGTATTTTCTGAGGGATGAGGTTACAACGTGAGGACCTTAAGAGTTCGGCATAGAACAAACCACGATAAAAGGATTTCGTTAGGTTGGAGCTTCTTTTTTTAGGTTCGACGAACTTTGAATGATATGTTGCTTCCGAAAGTCCCCGACAGCAGTCAACTTGCGCGGAAGCTAGTTCTTAGCAAAGCCAAACTGCAGGTATCCGATGGCTCCTTTGATCGTTAAGGCTTTCAACTTTCACTTTCATCAATCTCGTGCTAGGATTGCTATCGCGTGTATCAACTAGCCATGTTGCTACGGCACTTCGAAACCGCTCTGCGTGATCTTTACGACAACGATGAAAAAAATGCTCCAGCCGTCAAAGATGTCATGCTGGTGAGCTCCTAACCACCGTCCCAAAGTGGCTGCTACGTTCAAATCTAGCGGTATATTTCAGGAACCTATATGCTACGGATTATTACAATTCGATAAATACTGTCAATTGATTCGTAGTACTGTAGATGATGACTATTATAAGAAAACCGGAGATTTTCGAATCCGTCCAGACATCGATCCTGAGCTGTTGCGAATCAGTGATGAAATGGCTACACTGGAAAAGCAAGCCGAAAAAGCAAGAGCCAAAGTCAGTTAGATCCCGTGTATCATTTCTGCTGTTTTCAAATCGCTTATGGAACAGTTCAGATCGCTTCGCGCTTGGACATTGACTCTGTGAAACTGGATTGTACACCACAACAGGGCTTTTTGTTTCGAGTCACACTCAAGGTAAGCACTCGAATTCGGTTTGAAAAGAGTTCCAAGTGCAGTCAAAGATGGTAGGATTATAGAAGGCTTAATCGATAATCCAGATTATATCTCTAGGAAGAGAAAAATCTTCGTTCATGCAAGTTCATCACTATTGTCGACACAACGAAAGGTGGAGGTGTGCGATTCAAAGATGACGATTTAGTCGAACTCAATGAACGGTGGGTGAAGGTAGACCTTCGTACTTGGAACTTTGTCGTGTGCTGATATTGAGCTGCCGGAAAAAGACTGGTGAAGTAATCTACAGCAATGTTAGGACGTGACAGTAACTAGTCCTTCCATAAATCACACATAGTTTTGTTGGTTTCTGTGATCGACTTGAGTCGCATTTCACAAGGAAAAAGTACTAGGCCGCAGTGCCATTCAAGGTTTTCAAACGCTGATCTCAATTCCAACCTGCATATCTGCTGAGTATTTGACGAACTACGGAACCGTTTTCCCCACTGTGGTATACTACGGTCTTGCACATATAAACAGACCGAGCAGCACCTCAGCTGTGCAGCGATGTGGCAGTTAGTAGGTCGGCGGGTTCACAGGAACGTCATGGAAGTTTGGATCTTTGATGCGCTTACTCATTTTTTTTATTAAAGGAGTACCGAATGCTTGCGAAATGTTCTTACGCTTCATATTCACTTTTACAGCCCTATCCCACATTTGAGAAGTACTGGAAATGGTAATGTAAAAGAATACAGTAGAAAATTTCATTGCTCACCCTAAAAGAGCAGAGCTGCACCTCTACCCCCAACGAAATGGTGTTACGAAGTTCTTGGCAGGTTTGCGCACTTTCGACTGGGCGGTAGAATTACTCATCTAACCAGCCTTCTGGAAGAAATCCTGTCATTTTCGAGGCCACAAACACCCTGCCACATGTGAAATTGAGTTATTCAAAAAATCGTTGTTGGAGCAATAGGAGAGCTATTTGTGGCACTCAGTGATTGTCAAAGAGCCCTTTTATTTAAAGAGGTCGCGGTACCACAGTTCTGTTCAAAACCTGAATCCATCTGTAGCTTGTTTAAAAGGCACAGTTCACGGTAGAAATGGTTCTGAGTGCTCCCCCTGGGAATGCCCATTGTCCCCCAAGGGTAACAGGAAGGGCGTTGTCGGGTCTCAAAACTCAACAGCTAGGGCACAGTGGACCCCATTACCGGATCGCCCGGTCTTTCACCCCCTCGATCGATGTCGCATCAAACAGTGTCTAGGCGATACAGATTGCAATATTCGCTCTAGGACCCACACACTCAGCTGATCACCGAGTAATGAGGCGATGTTTTCCTGTTATTCCTTTATTCTCTGCTATTTTTTTTACTGCTGCGATCCCTTATTTCATATTGTACCACAAGAGGCTGAAAAAGGTTGGCTGCTTTTGCTGTTACTAGGATTTTTTGTTAACTTATGCTTATGAGTTAATGAATTTCTGCTTACAGTAGTCAGCTCTTCGCACGAGAACCCACATGTACGCACTGACACACATTGTATAGCTCGTCCATACGCCCCATTCTTCTTCACTTTTCTGGTCTCACCTTCATCCATCCTCCTTTTTAACGTTTTTCGAGACCTTTTCCATTATGGAAAGACCGATCCACGCGGTTTCTTCGCCTTCATCGCACTTTTTTCCATCTTATCTTTCATTTTTCGTCATAATCTGGATTACCGAAATTATCGTGAACTGTGCCTTCAAACTGTTCTTCATGAGGCCTCCCATGTTGATTTTCAGCGCCATCCACTGGGTTTCGCTGTCGCTGTCTGCAATGTCACTTACACATTCGTTTTTGCGATAACTTCTTATTTCAACTTCACCACTTATCTCCAAATCCGCGCCAGTCGATCCGATGGCTCGCCACTAATTGCTGCAACCACATTAGACTTCACAATTAGTCCAAAACAGACTAATATGAAAAATCACAGTCCCTCTCTATTTCTTCGAAGCCCGCGGGTGGTATCGGTCATGATGAAAACACACGAAAGAGTATGTCGTTGTCGCGACATCACGTTTTAGACTGTATTTTCCGCGTACTTTTCTTCTTGGGAGTCGACCACAAGGTTGTCGTACATAGCAGTAAAAGTTCACTTCCATTCCTTCCTAGATGACGTACACATTCAATCATAGATACCAAAGTCCTCCAACAATTACTAATAACAACAATTCTTGGGAGAACACAACGTTGAAGGGCGCTCTGTTCCATTGAGTGATGTGTCACATTTCTGCCGGATGCTTCAAAAACCGTTCATGATTTTGCCCATATTAAACAAAGCTTTTTTCTTTAGGCGACTGTGCGGCTCGCTTATGCGTGCAACACAGAGTATAACCCAGGGAGAAAACGGTTCTGTAGCTCCGTTCCCAAAATCGCTTTGCAGATCTCAAGATGTAGGTTTGAGATCGGCGTATGGAAACGATTACGATGATATACAGTGCTTTTGGATGACTCGCGACCTTATATCCTTTCCTTGACAGTTGAGTAGTTCAACAGTCGGGCAAATCAGTTGGGCGAGGGGTATACTTTTGCTCACTACTCTGTTTCACAGTCTGAAAATATTTCTGTGTCTAAGTTGCAAATTTGTTGAGTGGTGTAGTAAGAGTTGTGCAAATACCCCGCACTAATTAATCATGTTCATTTCTAGTTACCAAGTATTGAACGATATATACCGAGCTGCGCAGCAAGATTTGGAGAAAAAAGTCGTAGCAACTTGTGGTCAGTTGTTGTTTACGGTTTTTGTATATGTTTATTTGTTTACATAGTTCGTACACTCAGAAGTGTTCTTAACTCGAACCGCAGTATTATACATTAAAAAACTGATTCAAGGGAATGAAGAATCGTGAGATCTTAGAGGATTGCCGTTGTAGAAAGCTTGCCTGTTAGAGGTGAAAGCCAGTTTTTGCCAGCAGCCTAGCATGAACTTAGAGGGGGACGGAACTTACGTGCGTCCGAGTATGCGCGCGGCAAACAGCGCGGCGAAGTGCGTGGTGGTTCGAACAACTCTAGCGCCTATCAAAGGGGCCAAAATTTGAAGTAGAAAAGATCAGTAGTATCAGCTGACCAACTAAACTACTCTACTTCGAGTTTGAGCCCCAATGGTAGGCGCCAGGGACGTTCGAATCACCACGCACTTCGCCGCGCAATTTGCCGCGCGCATTCACGGGCGCACGTAAGTACCCATACCCGAACTTAGACTTCCCCTGCACCGAATGCATAGTTCCGCTGATGAGATCTCCTTCCCTTATTGAGAACGCTTTCATAACGGATGACGTCCTGTAGCTTGCAACCATCTAAACCCATGGCTAGCGTACCAAGTTCAAACTCCGAACAAATTAGGTAGATATCAGAAAGAGTCGATCGGCTTTAAGGGTCTTCTAGCGGACTATTTTACTGACAGGAGAGAAGATTGTGAAGGCGAACAAGGACTAGCCTAATCAAAAGGCAATATCCACTTGAAAGGAGAAAGAAATAATCTTCATAGGGACGACTCAGATAAAGTCCTGAGTTAGAACACTTGTCAATGCTGGGAACTATTTCAAAAAGAGAAAAACTGAAAGCAAGTGTGGTTGGTGGAAGCCGTTTCTTTATCACCGGGGATGAGCTTGCGCGAATGACCGTGAAATCCTCAATAGTCTTGAGAATGGAAGGAAATTATATCGTTACCGACTTTTCGTTTATTCACGAATATGGATCAGTGGAGAATGTAAGAGATCGGCTGTTGTTGGTGCTTCATGCAGAAAACCGGATTGCCATGAGCTTGGGAAGTGGTTACATAAGTTTTCGTGACTGGTCTCTTCATTATCTTGGTTGCTGTAGACGTTATACCTATTATGTGGAATTCTATGAGCCATTGGTTTCTATGAGTTTTTGAGTAGCGTTGCGGATTGCTTCCCAACATAATTAAGGTGCTCTCCAAGAAACCTTGACCCGTTTGAAACACAGAGTAAAGAAGTGCAGTCATGCGGTGCATCTCCTGTATACACTCTAAGATACCAACGTAAACTTTACAATTGGAAGGAAAGAGAATTTCGAGTACGCTCTCATTGATTCTGTCAACAGACACATGGACATTGGTGCAAAATTTGTTCTTTTGAAAGCAGCAGCCGTTTTTCCTTATCCGAGATGAAGGTGGAAACAGGCAAACCGGGAAGATGGGTGAAGTTTGGCCTCCGCCTGATGTAATGAGCGTTTTTTTTCTATCGGCTTTAGAATGCAGTGTAGTTGATATTTTGTATAGATACTAATAAATTATTACGAACGATAATATTATGACAGAGTATTAAAAAATATAAGGGGGGAACAAATCAAAGAAGCAGTTCAACATCCGTTTCGCACCTGCCCTAGACGGAAGTCGAACTTCACAATACTCTCCCTCCGTGCACTTCAGTAGGGTAAGGGAGTACAGAAACTTATGCTAACCTTATATAATAAATACGTAAGTTAAGAAGTGTAGGATAGATAAGTACGAGTGGTAAGGTGATCTCAATTGAGTAATGAACTTATACTCGTCTAATTAACTAATTTTCATTGGCTGATACGTGGTACTTGCAGCTGGCTACGCTCCAGCGCTCAGTGGATTGAGCAGTGTGTTGGCAACAATAGATGTTGTGACCAGTTTAGCACGTCTTGTGGCTGATTCAGCTGGAGAATACGTGCGACCGAAACTGGAACCCATGGGTAGGATTTTTGAGAGGTAGGTACCCTAGCGCCCATTCGTCCATTTCCGTAATTTTTAAGGTAGCGGAGTGTTCGAACTACGAAAATGTCGTCATCCTGTGCTGGAGGCGTTGATTGATGAGCATTTCATTCCGAATGACATTGATCTTGGTCAGTTAGCGGCTATCTTTCTTTCAGACCCGAGAAAAAAACCTGGATCAGTCCATTATTCACTTTTGCTTTCAGGGACTAATCGACTGATTGTACTCACTGGTGCGAACATGGGTGGGAAGAGTACTTATCTGAGATCCGCTGCTATTTCTGCTTTGTTGGCACAAATCGGTAGCTCAGTCCTTTCATTTGGAACGTAGGGCATTCGTTACTCCATAAGATTCCAAACTTATAGGGAGCTTTGTTCCCGCATCGTATGCTCGTTTATCTGTTCTCGATGGAATTTTCACGCGAGTTGGGGCTAGCGACCAACAAACTAGAGGGATATCCACGTTCATGGCGGAAATGCTTGATAGTGCGACGATTTTAGAAGTAAATTTTTTCTGTGTAAATTCCCATGTGTGAAATAATGTGCCTCGAAAATCGCCCACTTCAGACAGCAACCTCGAATTCGCTTGTTATTGTTGATGAACTGGGCCGTGGAACCTCAACCTATGATGGATTCGGTTTAGCGTGGGCCATAGCTAAGTAATTTTTTGCATTTTACTTGGTGATCACATCTTTGATTTGCATTGATCAAACTTGTTTTTCAGCGATCTTCTGAATAGAGTCCGCTGTTTTTGTCTGTTTGCTACACACTTTCATGAGATGGGATCTATTGCCAGTCAACCAGGCGCTACTGCCATGCAGGTATACATAGTTATATCTCAATATGGAAACATCAAATATTTGTAACAAATCTTCACAACGAAGTAGATAGTTAGATAGATAGATAATCTTCATAGACAATAATATATCATTCGTAGAAATGCAGGAAAAAGATCATTTTACGCCGGTCAACCTCTTTTTGGGATGCTGTCTTCACTTCACATCCGCTCAAAACATCGTTGGCATTTGAGCGAATATGAAGTGAAGACCGCATCCCAAAAAAGTACGGACTTATCCAGTGACTGGCATGATTACCATATGTATAAATCAGACTTTCAATCTCTCCGACAGGTCTGGCATGAACAAATTCACTTAGAGGTGTGAAAGGTTTGATAAGTCTGGGCGATTACTGTGGAATTAGATCCATGATATGGATATAAGGGTGGTAGCGGTTCAATTTCCAATTAACTGACCTGCACTTCCAACGCCGAAGTTCATTCACATTAACATTGAGGGTCAGAAGGAGATAAAAATCAAATAATGATAGTTAATACCACAAGGCTTGTCCCTTTTCATACACCGCCCCTTATAAGATCTGATCCCTTCGCTACTTCATATCCATTTCTTCCAACCTTCAGAACATTCTGAACACAATGGTGAATTTTCGAGTGGAGCCAAGCAAGCTGAATAGTGACTTCGCTCCTTGGGCACGGATCTGCCCTTGGTTCAAACGTGCTTCAATGTTGCTCATTTTAACGATTTTTTTATCCGTGGGCTAGCTGAAATTTGGTTCATGCCCATATTGTCTTTCATGTAGAATACTGCTTCAGTCCATCAAAAAAAGTTTCCACACGCTTTGTTGAACCTTTTTTGTTTCATACGTTGACCTAGAGAGGCGGTATTTCTCCTTGAATGACCAGCAGCTTCGCGGCAATTACCACAAATGTCCTACAGTAAAACCAAACTTCTCTTTCTCAGATTGCGATTGCGATTGCGCGCGATTAGATAGGGGAGCACGGCATATCCGCTCGGGAAGAAGAAGACACCCCAACCCACTGAACACTTTTGCTCATTCTCTTCCGGCATCTCTATCGGTATCCAGCTGTTTCAAAGCAGCGTCATTAAGTTTCGCCCCTGAAAACCATTTCGATGCACGTCCGGCACCCGTAGACGGAGCTTCACTCAGCTATGTGTACCTTGATCGTGTTGGCCTTTGCCCAAACCGTTCCATCATGACCGTGCTTCTAAGGGTACATACATTTCTTCGGGCAGTACCGAATTTCGTATATGACCCCCACGTACGCACTTTACATGTAGTGAGGATATTGCAGATGTCCGTAGCAGAGCAAAATGGACAGCTAACGATGTTATACGAAGTACGTCCTGGAGTGGCCCAAAGTTCATTCGGGATTCATGTCTCACGGAATGTTGGCTTTCCGGAACACATCGTTGAGGTTCAATAATGAAGCTTATTTCTTGAATTATTCTAAAACCCAACCTTACTAATTTCAGGAGGCTTCGCGTATTTTGGAAGAATTGGAGAATCCTGCAAGTGAGGCTGACATTGATGATCTCATTATGAAGTTCAAAACGGCTGACGATGCTCAACTCATGCAGCTTTTAGTTTGATTTCCAGACTATTGGGTCGAAAATCCCCGTGTCATTTTAGTCTCATCGGGTAATATGCAGATCCCTTACCTTCCGGGCGCTAACCTCCCATACGTTTTGCTTAAGAATAACTTTCGGTGTTTAACCTGTTATGACTTTCGGTTTTTTGGATCTCTATCTTCGAGGTTATAATTGTAATGATCTACATTGTTCCTTTACTTTGTGTAAAAGGTGTATGCTGTAAATTGCAACTTCTATTCTACTGATTCTAAGTTGGTACGCTTTGCTTATGATATATGCAAGATTTTAATGAAGAAAAAGATGTCTTTGTGCTGTAGTTAGGCTACAGCCGACTTGACCATGGGTTTGGTTAGGCGAACATGATCGATCTCATTAAGCAGCTTCCAGCTTAGCACTGAGTGAACGATGGGAGTGTGATCCCTAGTAAGTTCGAGCGCAACTGATTCCAACTGATTTATTGAGGTGGTGTTAGCGGAAAGTGGCGTACTATCTATCACAAATGCACGGTCCGCGGATCGGATCCCAGATCCTTACCAAGGACAACCAGACCTTCCTTCCCAAAGGGATGGGTTAATTGGGACCAGACACGTTTGGAAGGATAAAAGCACTGACATTGTCTGGCTACCGTAAATCAATATATCGGTCACGAATGCATCAGATCGCCTCTACAGTTTTGAGTGTTTTTTTTGGGTGGGTGCATCCCAAAAGGGAATGGTTAACGCCCAAGATTTCGCTTCATTTTTATACGCTGGTGCATCCGCTTTGACTTCCAGTACCATTATTTGCAGAGAGGCATCTGCGAACTGACCTTTTGAGTAACTATTATGTCGATGAATAATTACTGTGGGTTTTTCTCAGCAAATTTTACTCAACCCTTTGACGACAGCGCGGTTCAACGGTGGGCCGCACCCTTTCCTTTGGTTTTCTAATAAGTCATTCACTAGATATCGGTATAGAAATGCATTCCTTGTTTCAAGGGTCCGTCCATTAATCCTGACCACAGCTGCTGAATCCTTGCTCGTTGGCTAACTACCGAAGTGAATCTTGAATCTGAATCTTGAGTAGATCTTAGGTGTAACACCTTTAAAAAATAGCTTGAAAAGTTCTATTCTTCAGTTTTACTTTCGTCGGGTTCGACCAATCTTTCAAAACCACCAAACAAATCGTTCACTGCAGGCTGATACATTTCGACTCTCGAAGCTATATTATGCATAAAACCAGACTTAACTAAAGTAGAAAACCCATAATAACTCAATTTACACCTATTTCAAACTGAATCACGGAAAAAATGCTTGGAAAAAAGCAAAACATGTTCACTTTAGAAAAATGTATCACCCGTGGAACAGCGCGGCTCAACAGTGAGTCGCGGAAACGGTAAGCTTGAAAATGCGTCTGACCCGCGCACCGGACACGCAAAAGGGCGCATCGTCGCTGAAGGGCTAAAGAACCGATAGAAATATTTATTAAAGACATGTTCAATGGTTACTCCGAAACATATCCACCATTTACGTCAGACATTACTTCCCATTTGCTAGGCAGTAGGATTCCACAGGCGAAAAAGTTTTGATTCTTGCAGATCCACGACGATCCTTCCACAAAACCTATTAATAGGTTGATGCATAATTGTTGCGGATTTTTTCGCTGTTCCTTTTCTCTCGACATAATCTGAATATCGAAGCCGGAATTTTTATAGAAACAATCTCCTTACTTTCCTTAACAGAAATATATTCTGAAAGACATTTCATATGCGCCACATTATGCCCTACTACTTCGGGAAAACTTGGGAGGTGGCGCAGTCATAAGGTAATGTAACGAACTTCTCGGGATGGAACAGTCAGTCAAGGCCGAATGAACATTGGATCTGCTTCTACGTACGCCCTATTCACCAACAGAACCTACTATGGATTATCACGTCAATCGTTCGTTCACAAATTGGTTGGCGAACAAAACTCTCAAAGTTAAGGATGACTTGATGGCAGACGTCAAGGCGTGGATCGCCTCCAATAATCGAAACTCTCTCGCCTGAGGTATCCGACTGCCAGCAAATGGGAAGCGGTGCTTGCCGTAGATGGTGAATATGTTCCTGAGTGATTACTCGAACATGCCTTTGCAAAGTACTTCTATCGTCTCTTTAATTAAAATTTGCTGAAAAAATCCATAATAATTAAGCATCAACCTAATATAATACGTCGGAGAAGAAGCGAACGCGTCCTATGCAGAATCGGTACTGCGGATCAGGAACTCAGAGGTACCACGGACAATTTGGGGGTGGTCCATAGGTTCGCTATGACTCCGACGATAATCGAGTAAATAAGATGTAAACGGCGAAAGGTGGATCTCACAACAGGAGTAATACAGCACATCAGGAGTAATACAGCACATTTTTTTTGCTCTAATTAGAAAGAAGGATTTACGTCGTTTTGTCTTAGATCTGATTAGGCTTTGGCTTGATGCTGTGTCATTCAGCAGAAGACTAGCTTAGACAGGCATCGAAGCCATCGTTGCTTAGAACTCCTTCAATATTCTTCCTCTTGACTAAGTGATACACCACTGAATTTCAGTGAATGAATAACAAAGCAAAAGTATCGAAACAAGGAAATGCGCTGTTATTGACGGAGCAGTACCTTTCTGCAGAACAGTATGACTTGTCGAATCCTCGCTTCGCTGTCGTCTCATCATGAGCGTCGCCATCAATCACTTACTCAACGTCGCACAAGACCGCTATAAAAAAAGGCTGGTTCGAGACAGCCGGACAGCTTGCTCATCACCGTCGCCGTGGTGCATCGCCCTGGTCGTACGGCCCCCTCGTCCTGACCCTTATCCCACTTTGTTATACTTTGTAATGCTTTATCAGTAATAAATATATAGTAATAAATATATATAGGCAAGAAGTGTACTACAGAAGAACTCACAGTTCCGCTACAATCAGATGTAGACCTCGAGAACCTATAATCTGATATGGAGGTCTCAGTGATATTATTTTTCTCTCCTCTTTTTTTCCAAAACTTCGAAGGTATAATACTAACCTAAATGTCCCCCACCCCTTTCTATTCATGGCACCATATATAAGCGTGCCCCTATCTCCGAATGAAATCCGAATCTACAAACCGACACACCAAGTTACTGCTTTATAAATAAGAAGGATGCTTATTTATAAAGCAGTAACTTGGTGTGTCGGTTTGTAGGTTTGTAGGTTTGTCGGTTTGTATGTCTGTCCGTCCGAGAAGTATGATTACGATAAAGGTAGTGATACGGAGAACCTAGCTCTATCCTACACTTCCTTCTTTTAGTGAAGCAGTGAATTGGTGGGTAGGTGAATGGAGTGCTTGGAGAAGCGAATGCTTCGATATGATGACTTCGAGCTTATCCCACATTTCCTTCCTTATGTATATGAAGCAGTAAGATGGTGGGTTAATGGGACGAATGCTTCGACATTGTGGCTTCGATCGTTACTGGCATGGTACTATGTTTTCCTATGAAGAATGTGAAATTTGCTTAATCATTCTCTACCATTCTAATCCTGTCTAATAACCCACAGTGAAATTACCTTCAGCCGTGAGGATAAAAAGAACCGAACGGTTAACCATCCACTTTGTTTCGAATTTATACAGCACAGAGCGTAAGCGACACCACATATTGTGTTCCATTGGTTCTCTTTCTGCTGAGCTCCCTTTTATGGAGAGAAATATCATCTGCACAGGATCTCAGGATTTCAGCACCGTTGACGGCTAGCTCATTCCTTTGTTAGCTTCACTGGCACAGCGCCTTCACTTCGGCTGACCAACCTGATGAATCCCGGAAACTTAATAATTTTTATTGTTGTTCACAACTGTTGATATGCCACTATCAAATTCCATGGCCCCTCCTGCCAATTGACATATTTTGGTGGTCGGATTGGTTTCGTTGCAAGTGATATCTGAATGTAGAAAAAACACAACACCTTGAGGGGTCACAAACATCCTACTATATGCAATTCGCTAAGTGTGTCTGTCGGTTCGTCGGTGTGTTTGTGTGTGTGTGTGTCGGTGTGTGTGTCTGACCGGAAACTCATAACTCCTGCCCCCGTGGAC